ATTTTAATTTGTGGCCCTCAGGCCTGGTTTTAACTGTTTTTGGTCAAATATTCTTCTAATTGGTATAGCACTGATCTGTTCATTTGCTATCTAGAGGTAACTCATGGTTGCTGTGATACTAAACACTGTGACACTAATGGGTCAAATATGATAATGGTTACCAATGGTGCAACTCCCTGATTAAAATAAGCTTGGAAGCAGGAGTGAGATCCACTTCTGAAATACCTTGCCTCTGGAAACTCAATGAACTTGGAGAAACAATGAAAGTTTTACAGGTGTCCAGTCTTTTGTTCATAGGGTTGCTATGAGTCATCTATAACTCAACAACACTTAACTGACATTAATGTTCCCTCAGGACTTAGGCAAGATTCTTGTCAATAGACTTTCCCAATGCAATATGTCACTTTGTCTCCTGATTGCTGTTATCAAGAGTGTTGATTGTGGATCCAAGTAAAATGACATCATTGACAACTTCAATCTTTTTTCCATCTATCATGATGTTGCCTATTGGTCCAGTGGTGATGATTTAGTTTTCCTGACATTGAGATGCAGTCCATATTGAAGGCTGTAATCCTTGATCTTCTGCAGGAAGTACTTGAGGTCCTCTTCACTTTGAGCAGGCAAAGTTGTGTCATTTTATCAATGCATCTCATTGATGAGTTTTCCTCCAATCCTGATGCTACATTAGTCTTCATAAAATCTACCTTCTGGAATGATATGCTCAGCATACAAATTGAGTAGATATGGAAAACATATAGCCCTATCATACACTTTTAAGAATTTTTTTTTTTTCATTTTAAACCATGCTGTGCTCTGTTTACATGACAGCTTCTTGGTCTAGGTCTAAATTTTGCATGAGCACAACTAAGTGTTTTAGGATTCCCATTCTTCTCAGTATTAATAATAGTGTATTGTGATCCAGTAAAATGCCTTTGCATAGTCAATAAACCACAAGTAGACAATTCTGGTAGTCTCTATTTTCAGCCAATATCCATCTGACATCAGCAGTCTTATCCCTAGTGCCATATACTCTACTATAACCAGCTTGAACTTCTGGAAGTTCTCTTCCAATGTACTGTTTTCACTGGTTTTGGATGATCTTCAACAATATTTTGCTTCCAGGTGATATTAATTATATTGTTTGGTATGTTGTTGTTATGTGCCATTGAGTCACTTGCATCGCCTAGTCACACTATGTTCAACTGCTCTGAACTCTGCTCTACCCTGAGCCAACTTCATAGTCTCTGACACATCTACCCCTATTATCCCAATCATTAAGTCAATCCATCTCATTGAGTGTCTTCCTCTTATGTGTTGTCCCTCCACACTCCCATGCATGATATCCCTCTCCAAGGACTGGTCTCTTCTTGTTATATGCCCAAAGTATGCCAGATGAAGCTTCAGAATCCTTGCCTCCAAGGAGAAGCCTCATCTTACCCTTTCTAGGACAAACTTGTTTGTTCTCCTAGCAGCCCATATTATAATCAATACTCTTTTCCAGCAACACAGCTCAAAGGCATCAGTTCTCTTTATGTCATCCCCAGTCATTGTCCAGCTTTCTGATGCGTAGCAAGTCATGGCAAAGACCAAGGCCTGGATCAGCTGCACCTTATTCTCCAGACTAACATCATTGTTCTACTCTGGAGCGGTCCCTGACAGCAGACTTTCCCAGTGCAATTCTTCTTTTGCTTTCCTGGCTGCTGGTACCAAGAGTGTTGATCATTTCGAGTAGACTCTGAAAATCTACTGGCAGGTCAACTATGATTTAGTTCCAGTGCTAAGGCACAAAACAAAAATTGGATCATACAATCTGCAAACACATTTACTTCTTTGTCAATTTGTATGCTTTTTATTTTCTTTTCTTGCCTTAATGTTCTGGCTAGGACTTCCAATGAAATATTCAATAGAAGTTATGATAAGAGGCAACCTTACCTAACTTGGGAGGGATTGGAGAGCATTATGCTGAGTGAACTCAGTCCCACAAATTTTGTATAAAACCATTATTGTAGAATGAGTATAAGGATCCAAGAAAAGTGGGGGAAGGTGGAAGCAGAGGGATGAGGATGTGCAAGAGGAGAGGGGGATTAATCATGGATTTGTACAAGTTGATGGATGGAGGGGTGAGGGAAATTTCAAGAATCTGTTACTGAAAGCAAGAATTTTGTATTTGAATTTTGTAAGTAAACTAAAAAAAAAGAGACAACCTTGCCTTGTTCTTTTTTAAAAGAATGGCTTTAGTCTCCTTAGACTTGAGAGAGAGACTGGGCATTGGTTTTGTATTTATGCTATCCATTATATGCTCAAGCCTGTTCCCCCCTTAAATTATTATTAAATTTTATTAATTTTAATGAACATTTACAGAGATTTGGGGTTTTCATTCATTGTTGCACTATTTTCTCTAAACTCCTCCCCAGTTCGTTCTTCTTTTTTTTCCCCCTTGAAAGTCTGTTTTAATTGTCCAATTACCACAGTGCTTGTCCAAGCCAGTTCTGATTAATCT